GGCTGGACTCGAACCGCTGAAGCGTCGACCATTTCTGGCCGGCAACTTTCAGCGTCATCAACCACACTATTCTGTACAAGCTAGGATTTCAGTTTAGGGCTACTGGGTAAGCCAAGACATTGTTGCCCATATTCTACCACATAGGAGGAACATGCAAAGTATTGATACACACTGTGTGAAGGAAGTAATTTTAATAGAGGAAAGTTTTATTTGAGAGGATAATCAGGCATACTATGAAAACCAGTTGTTCGTTTCCTCCTCCTTTTGATACTGGCTGCACCCCTCAATTCCTCTGGAGACTCAATCAACTACGATAATCCTGCTTAATATATAAATTATGGTGTTCACATTATTGTATGAAGTTGTTTACAGACCCCACGTCCTCCACCCACGCATGAATAGGCCAATATTTCCTCCCATCCCCCTGGCACACAATGCTTTCGGATTTCTTCTACTTATAAGAATATTTTGGGAATGTATAAAGAAGAAATATGATTCTATCAGAAAGGATAGAAAATGCCTTGTGAACAGAGAATACACTGAAGATTGTCAAAGAGAAAATCTAGGTTTCTTGCAGGCCAACAATAAGATCAACAGTATGGTGCTGAATCAACTCAGGTAACAATAAATATTACCATAAAGTCATCCTCCCCAGTCTGGGATCCTCCATTTCTGTTGGGCTAAAACAACCCTAATTCCTAACCACAATGCTCAAAGACAAAGCTCACTAAGAATGCTGGGAATTAATCCAAAATCCTAATCTCTTCCATCCATGAGCCAATTAAAGCATTAAGTGAAGAACAAGCAAAAGCAGTATGTGAATCTAACATTTATGCACGTTATACAGATGCAAGGAGCCAAACTTAGCTGCAGGTCCATGCTTCCATATATCCAGTTGCAAAATGCAGTAAAATAAAAATAGGCAAGTCATCTGTTCAAGGAATTGTTCCTTATTGAGGGTTTTTTTTTTTTTGGTTTTGTGCTTTCAAGTCAGCCCTGACTCCTGGCAACTGCCTGGATAAGTTCCTGCAGTGTTCTTGGCAACATTTTCAGAAATGGCTTGCCACTGACTTTTTCCTAGGGCCGAGAGAGAGAGAGAGTGGCCAATAGTCACCCAGCTGGCTTTGTACCTAAGACAGGACTAGAATTAATGGTTTCCCGGTTTCTAGCCCAGTGCCTTTAACACTATACCAAACTAGCTCTCTATTTAAGATTAACAGCATAATATTCCTTTTCAAATCAATCTGCAATACAACATATTTCCATTTTATTTTTTATGCACCCTGTGCATAAAGTAACTTTAATTTGATCTCTCCTTTAATTGTTTTTAGATTTTATTGTTATATAGTTCTTCTGTTTCCTTTTTATTCTATACAGTGGTACCTCGGGATACAAACTTAATACGTTCCGTGACTCTGGGCGTATCCCGAGTTA